AGACTGCCCAAGGTCCACATAAGCGTGGAAGACAATAGGAGAGACCGCCAGTAGGAAACAAGAATGAGAGACAAATAGAGCAGGAAGGAATGCGGATGTGAAAATGGTGGAGGGGGGGGGGAACAGCAGAGCGGACACAGCGAAGGCGTGGACAGGCGTGGAGGAGGAGGGGCGCGTTCCCTCCTGGGAGGAGGCAGGGAAGGCTTAGACAAAAGTTAATGAAGAAGAATGAAATGTGGTGTATATTCTCATAGGAAAATGCACTTGTTATGCTGTAATGATACACAGTGATTAAATGTAAAAAATAAAATTAATTTAGAAAATTTTTAAAGAAATGAAGATGAATAAAAGTACAACCTCCAAATAATAAGAATCCCAAAAATATGCTCAAACAAAAACGGGAGGAAATATGTGCAAAAATAGTGAAAATTTGGGACCAGCAGTTGACGTAATGATTACGTCGCTGGACTCCCATGTAGTCGACTGTGGTTCAAGTCCCAGACCCAGTGACTTAAACTCGCGCCGGGCACGTGTGCATGCGTGTCCGAGATCCCGAGAGGAGAATGGAGAAGGGATTGCGGCGTGACCATCACCCAGGGGGTGATTTCTCGCTTATCTGTGTCTCTCTCTCTGGCAACCACACGTGCCCTATAGCAAAAAACTCTCTAAAAAAAAAATAGTGAAGATTCACGTCACAAAATTAAAGAAAAAGGGAAGATCCCTCTTCTATTCCTGGGGCTAGCAGAGAGGGGGCACAGGCGCTCCGAGGCTCCCAGGGGCAGCAGGTGACATGCCGGGCACTACCAGCCTGTGCCGCGGGACATCTTCAGCATCGGAAAGAATCAAGTTGGCACCAGCTGAGCCTCACGTAAGTGGGAGAGGCAGGGTAATGACATGCTCAGGCTGCGAGGCCTCGCGTGTTCGCCACATGGGGTCCACGTCAAGGGCAGGTCCAGCCGTCGACAGACTCAGTGACAGGCACAGCTAGGAGAGGGCCAGGGCACCTGCCCAAGTGCTCCAACACCTCGGCACTGTTAGTGTTGTCTTAAAGGAATTAGGATAAAGCAAACAAATTCTTAAGACCCAAATCCCAATGCTACACACTGCAGCCAGGAGCTGGGGTGCAGAGGAAGCAGTCCCGGGGCCATGAACACAGGCGGCTCATGTTCCTTCTGGGAGGGCAAGGTGGAAAAATCATTCCGGGTGTCCATGATTCAGTGACCGACAGGAGCTGGAAAAGGCGTGAACCGTGTCTAACGGGAGTCCAGGACGTGCCCAGCAGGGTGATGATGCCAGGAACAGAAAGAGGACACGAATGGCTGAAAAAGATGGCTGGGGTGGAGGGAGGAGACACAGTGGGGAAAACGGACCCTGTAAAACTCAACTTCAACGTCCCAACGTAGACGAAAAGAGCTTCAGGCTTCCTTCACGCAGCAGAAGGGTGGCGAGGAGGTTCACTAGTTTCCCTTCTCTGTCAGTGTGCAGGGAGTCCAGCGCTCTTTCCTCGGGGGTGAGAGAAGTATGCAAAGCAGGGGGCTTCGGATGCCCCAGCGTAGGGCACAGGTGGTGTCCGTGAGCAGGGTCTAGGTCCATGTGCGTGGGTTGTAGCAGAGGGAAGGTGGCTTCCCACGGGCTCTCTCCTTTGACAGGTGCCCATGGTCCTCTCCCCATGCCGGCATGCTGTGACACGGTACCAGAGGCAGCTCGATGGCGGCCCCATGCCTGTGGACTGTCCAGCCACCACGATCGGAAGCCAAGTGAACCTCTGTTATTTAAAAACACCCAGCCGTTTGAATCGGGTGATCGGGAAGGTCATGACATTTTTGCACGGAAAACACCCATGGCTTTTCCCCAGCCTCGTATCTCTGCTAACAACACCATAGCAGGTCTAAGAGACACATAAAGACCATCAGACATGCATACACATGCTAACATGAGCCTGCGTGACATACCAGATTACACGTGCATCCACATGACCTGTGAGCATGTCATGTCAGACTACATGTACATCCACCTGACCTGTGAGCCTGCGTGTCATGTCAGACTGCACAAATGCAGGTGTGAACACGTGAGCCAGCACACACGGAGAACCACAGCTCTTAGTGACGTGCGTATTTCACAGAAGTGAACGCGAATGTGAGTATCAGCTGGAACCGTGGGTATGAGCAAATTGTTCCGCACCATAAACACCAAATGCTAGGTTTTCTATTACTCATCTCAGACCTGAAACTAAACAAACATTTGCAAAATCGTTTTGTAAACCAGAAAGGATGACACGAATGTCAGTTATTAAATGATTTAAGATTATTTAAAATGATTTAAAGGTTGGGGAAACAATAGACAATGTATCTCTAAATTTCTCTTAAAACTTTTGCTTTAATAATAGCCAGTTTGAATGTTTTCCCCAAGTAAAGTGCAGTCTGCCTCTCAGGAATTTTCAAAAACTTATATGTAACAAGATTTCTTTTTAAGTCCATTTAGTGATCACAGACGTATCTGCTCTCCGGCTGAGGTTTCCACAGCCCTGCACTGCCCTGACCCCCAGCCTCATGGTCCAGGGGCTCGGTGCTCGGTTTGGCCTGTTTCCTGCAAACAAGGAGCAGAAAACCAGGGTGCGGTCAGGCAGAGTCCCACGCTGCACACTGGGAGGCCGTCAGGGAGGGTGGCATGCCCAGTAACCACGGTTCCCGGCTGGGAGGCTGGCTGCAGGCCAAGAGCACGCCCAGGGCTGGGTCTTTAGCATCACTGTCAACCCTACCTCTGACCGTGTGGTCCCAGACTAAACACACCATCCCCCGGACACACTCACGCCTCCAACCTGGCACACCTTCTTGTGGCTCCGTGTCCTGGGGGCCCCTCCACCTGGGCGCATCCAGGCGTGACATGCTCCCCTGCCCAGGGCGCCCTCTCAGGGACAGCGCCAAGAGCCCCCAGCTACTCTAACCAACCGGTGGGGAGTCTCCAGCCTCCCTTTCCTCCTCCTTTCTCTCACACCCTACAGGAGCTGATCAAGTTCTGTTTCACCAACCCGGAAAACATACAGGGTACTTCGAAGCCTTGTGGGTAACAGCATTAAAGTACACGTCCATTTTGGGGCATAAAATGTGAGCCCAGCGTAGCCCCCCATGGCGCACCTTCCCTGAACCTGCTCAGGGTGCCTGGGGGAACTGAGCACCTTGGGCCAGGCCACCACGGGCTCCCCCCTAAGGACCTGCAGGATGTGCCGAGCAGGTCTCATCCCTCTCCTCTACCCCCAAGTCACCCCGTAAGTCACGTCATACCCTGCCTCAGCCCACTCAGGGCCTCGCAGCACACTGGGCACCACCCCCAGCCAGCGCAGCCCCAGGGCAGAGCGGCGCCCCTTCGCCCCTCGCTGTGCACCAGCCCGTCCATCTCACGTCTCCCAGCCTCGGACTGGTGCTTCCCTCTAGCGGGTGAGCTTCCGCAGACCACTGTGTACTTCCCCTCTGTGGCACTCAGACCTCTTCTTAAATGCCACCTCCTCAGAGAAGCCCTCACCACTGCAAGCACCAAGCTCCCCAGGCGTGGGAGCCAGCTGCCACTGGGGAAGTGCTCACTCCAATTGTCCTCGAAGAGTGACACGCTGCCGCTGACGCCCTGGCGCAGAGGGGACGTGGTGCCCAAGAGCAGCTGGAGCCCACAGGGGCCTTGGCCCAGAGCCTCGGCCGGGCACGCCTGAGCCAGCTGGGTCGCGGGCGCACTCTCAGGTAGATGGCTGGAAGGCCGGGAGAGACCCCGTGGAGGCCTGCAGGGAGGACTGTGCTGTTGGACTTGCACAGAATCACGGATTTTCCAGTTTTCCTTCAGTTACGGATTCCCGGCATCATGCCATGGGATTAGAAAAAGTATTTGCTGTTATTTCAGTCATCCTGAATTTGTCAAGACGGATTTTCTGGCGCAACTCCCTGACCCGGAGAGCGCTCCATTCCACTCGGCCACTGCACGGTGCCGTCCGGACTGAGGCCACTGTGGCCGGTCCCGGTTTCCACCAGTGGGGGGGGTTGCACCCCACAGTCCCTGGCTGAGGCCTTCCCGCCCCAGCTGCCCATTGCGGCCATGCCGTGCGCTGTCCTCACAGCCAGGCGTCCCCTCCGCAGACTGACACGCTTGCTGTCACATGAGCTCCTCCATCTCGTGTGTCTTAAATTCAGGTCTCCGTGGCTTCCACATGCACGGAGGGGCAGCGGGGAGAGGGACGTGTTTCTGTCTTCGCTTTCTATTTACGAACATCCTTAAATCTGAGTGGGCCAGATGGCTGTCCAGCACCCGGCTCCCACTCCCAGCTCCCGCCCACCGTCACCACAGCCGCAGCCAGCGGCCCTCATGTGAGTGGGACCCAGTGGCAGCAAGACAGCCCGCCCTGCCAGCCTGCCCGGCCCTCGGGGAGCCTAAGCCCTGCGTGCGTCTAGCTGCGTCCTCGCGTGGTGCGAGTTTGCAGGACAGACTGCCGTGTCCTCCCAGGACTGCCGCCCAGGCGCTGCTCTCGAGCACAGGCACAGCCCTGCGAGCTCACGGCGTACCCTGCACGTGAGCACACATGCTCTCCGGGCTCCGCACCAGGCGCCGCCGCTGTGACAAACCCCAGGTGAGGAAAAAGGCACCCGGGGTTGGGATGGGCCGTGACAAGGACCCAGACACAGAGTCGGCTCCAGGTCTGACCCTGAGGCCCAGGCGGAGCCGCTGCCCTGCCCATGGGGCTCCTTCCCCGCTAGTCGGCCCAGTCTTAGCTCGGACTCAGGCTCGCCCAGGGCTGCCCGACGCTCCATCAGCAGGCGCCCTCCGCACACCAGCAGCAGTGCTCTTGGCACCTGCAGCGCGCCCCACCCGGGGATACACCGCCACCTCCTGTAACGTCTGTCTTCACCACATTAACACGTGGCGGAGGCTGGGTCGTTGGTTGAATGAATACACGAATGAGACTGGTAAAAACAGGTCTGGTACAAAGGCTGAGGAAACCCTGTCTGCTTTGAAGAATTGGTATCAGAGTCTACAACGGATCACGGTCCACCCTGCTGCTCCAAGCATGAAAGCTCAGAGGGACGCCCAAAGCCCGGCTGCTGTGGCCAGTCTGCAGGGGTGAGGGCTCCTTACTTGCGAACACCTCCCAGAGGAAAGACTTTCTCTCCGATCACAGCCAACACGTGGGTCCAGTCAGACAGGCAGAATTTGGGAATGATGATCTTCACAGGTGGAATAAATAACCTTCCATTTGTGAAAACACTGCAGGGATAAAAAGAAAAGAACTCAGTAACACTCAATTTAAGAGGAAAACTGAAAATTCCAAAATAAAATGACAGATTATAAAGCGACGTAACAGGAACCAGCAGTTGGCGTAATGGTTGTGTCGCTGGACTCCCACGTATTCGACCATGGTTCAAGTCCCAGACCTGGCAGCTCAAATTCATGCCGGGCACGTGTGTGTGCGTGCTCAAGATCCTGAGAGGAGAATGGAGGAGAAGGGGTTGTGGTGTGGTCATCTCCCTGGGGGGTGATTTCTCACTTTCTGTCTCTCTGTCTCTTACTTTCTGGAGAGTGCATACGCCCTATAGCAAAAAACTCTCTAAAAAAAAAAAAAAGCCAAAGTAACACACCCAGCAGCTCCCAGACACCCAGCACCTGCACCAGCACCCACACCCAGGAAATTCTATGTGCCCACCCCCCGAGACCCACTGCTACTCTGCACCGTCTCCCAGAACCTGGGCAGCCACGGCATAGAAACATAGCTTCTAATAGAGTCTAAACCTCCCAGATAAATAGGACAGAACTCTCCTTCCTAAAAAAAAAGAAAGGAAGAAAAAGGGGGCCAGCCAGATGGGATGGAGGTTAAGGCAGCTGGGTCCCCCGTGGCCCACAGCTGTTTGAGTCCTGGAACACTGGCTTCAAACCATGCTGGTGCACATGCAGGCATCTGCTCCAGAGAGCAGGGCCAGCCCCTCCCCCACCATCTCTGGCAAGTGCACACACCCTACAGCAAATTTGGAAAATAATAATAACAAATAAAATAAATGTTAAATATATGTCTACAACTACTATGATGGGCAAATGGGAGAAAGCTGTCCACTTGGAAAACGAGGGGAGTTACGTCTGAAAATGCGCCATCTCCCTTTCCCACGGCACGGAGACAGCCTCCCAGGGACGTAATCCCAATCCTTTGAAAAGATCATAGGAAAAATCGACCCCACTCCTGCAGTTGGACGGCAGCTGCAGGGATCCACCAGGCCTGGGGCCAAGTGGGTACCTCGTGCACCTGCAAAACCCACTGTGCGGCTCAGCTCGCACTCCATGTTCTGCCTGCGGCCTGAGCCAAAACCACTTGGCAACAGTTTCGAGCTCTTGTAACTTGTATCAGAATGAAGTAAAAGAGGCAGGCCTCAGAGTGCCGGCTGGACCTGGGGCTAGGGGAAGGAGCAGGCCGATTCTGGGCCCACACTCTACAAAATGTTTTAAAAAGGTAAAATACAAAGCTTATGTTTATAAGTCTAAAAATAATTATATCCTTTGACAACACAGACTCGACTTTAGAATTCTGGTTTTTAATACCTTCACATTATTTTTACACTAAGTCTTAAGAGTTTTATTTTTTCTTACAAGCACATAACTTAGATTTTGAGAAATATGGGGGTGTTTTTATAAATATACACTTTAATTAATATGCATGCCAGAGTACAAAGAATCTGTTTTTTCCACTAAGGCTCTGCCCCAGAGCCCAGCAGCTCTGCCCCAGAGCCCAGCCCAAATGTGAACAGCCCGGCGGCAGAGACCTGGGGGGGCAGGCTGCATGGACTGCGTCTCTGCAGGTGCTCTGACGGAGTGGGACAGGTTGCTACAAGAGTCTTTCCAAACAGCGATTACTAAGAGCAATAGAAGAGATACCTGAACAAGGTCATTTTATATTTCTAAGTGTTTCAGTGTATTGAATATCTACTCTCATCCTGAGCGCTGAGACGGCAGCACACGCGCGCCCTGCCTCGGCGCAGTTAAACCGAGCTGCCGAGAGGCCAAGGTCATGTTATATTTCTATCTAAGTGTTTCAGTGTATTGAATACCTACTCTCATCCTGAGCGCTGAGACGGCAGCACACGCGCGCCCTGCCTCGGCGCAGTTAAACCGAGCTGCCGAGAGGCCACCGGCACTGTGCTGGTGGAGACCCCGGACTTCCAGGGTCTCTGTGATGAGCACATGCACCCTTGAGCAAAAGTCTCTCAAAAAAATGTAAATAAATAAAATCAACAAATGAGGAGGAATGGTTCAATCTGCCCTCTGCAGTTTCAGGTGCCCTGGGCCAACCCCATCTGACACTGTGGGGCGCCAGGGAGTGGGGGAAAGAGCCACCTGTGGGACCCCTCCATTCCGCTCCGTAGTTTGGCTGGCCTCGCCCGGGCCTGACCTACGAGTGGACCTCTGTCGCAGTGGCACGTGTAGGAAGACACAGCATCTAAGGGCAGTGCCAACCACCCCCTGGCTTCCACTGGGGGTCCGGGAACACACCCATGCAGACAAGGGGGACGACAGGTCACTGAACAACCCATGTCGTCACTAAGTGATGCCAGCTGTGTCCCCTCGTCCCCTTCACAATGAGAGGCCAGCCCTCATGCTCCCCGGGCCCTCCTCCAGGTCCCAGAGACCACGACTGGGCCTGGTGTCATGAGGTGCCAAGAGGTTCGCCCTCTCCTTCCCTCCCTGCCCTGGCCTTGGGCGTCCCCAAGAGGCAAAGGGTACCTAGAACGCTGCTAGGGCTCAGACGGCTCTGGCCAGCCGCTTCCAGATGACTGGAAAGGGACACTAAGCCCCTCGGTGCTGCGGACTCGCCTGCCTGTCATGCAAAGGAGCGAGCGAACCCCCTCACAACGGGCCTGTGACAACTGACATCGTGAAGCCCCCTCAGGTTCCCAGCTTGCTCAGGGCAGAACCAGCGCCTAGATCTGAGCCTCGACCTCCCACTTGGGCCTTCAAGCCCCAAGTCACCACCGGCCACGTTCCAGGAGCCCTGCCAGAGAGCGCCTGGTCCTCCCACCACGCGGCTGCCCAGAGCGGGCTCCAGAGCCACTCGCTCCCTCGAGCTCCCTCTCCCACGGTGACTCTGTTACAAGCAAGGGCCGCACCCCTTTCCCTCCTGGGTATCTCAGGGCCTGAGCTGTCCCTGCGCCACCCCGCAAGTCCCTGTCTCTCTGCAAGGACTCTGCGCGTAGGTGGCTATCTAGGTCCACAGGGGCCCCTCAGCAGGCCAGTGCCGGGGAGGGAGAGTGCATGCCTATGGCCAGTGGCTCCCACAAAAGGCTGCCAGGGGAGGGGAGCCCCGAGATCTGGGTTGGGATCAGGCCTGTCAGAAAGCACCCACAAAGCCATCACGTGTCCCAAGATTCTAGCACTCTGCAGGAAGGCTGCCGCCCTTTGTCTGTGTCTGAGTATTTCTGAAGGTCTGGGTTTACAGAAGGTGCCATGAAAGACCGTGGCTCCCGGACAGGGCTCCAGGTAAGTGTTTTTTGTTTTGTTTTGTTTTGTTTTCCCCTGGAGAGGCTTTTGCTATAGGGCACTTGCGCTCACCAGAAAGACAGAGAGACAGAAAGCGAGAAAACACCCCCCAGGGGGGATGGTCACGCCACAATCCCTTCTCCTCCATTCTCCTCTCGGGATCTTGGGCACACACACACACGCGCCCAGTGTGAGTTTAAGCCACCGGGTCCGGGACTCGAACCGTGGTCGACTACGTGGGAGTCCAGCGACATAGCCATTACACTAAGTGATTGCCGCAGTTTCCAGGACCGTGAGAGGAACAGCGTTGGCAACTGACGGCTCTGCCTGGTATGTCTGCTCCCCCGTCGGGAGCTGCTGGGTCATCTGGGTCTCCCAGACTCCTGGCCCCACGCCCTCTGCTACTCAGGACCCGAGGGAATGCGTCAGTGAGACTCCTGCAAGGGCCGGGTGGGGATACCACCTGCCATGCCCAGACCCAGCACTTGGGACTCTGCAAACACACTCTCACTCTCATCTGGAGCAGACTGTGGTCAGAGGAGGACGAGGAAGAGGAGGAGGGTGAGGAGGAGGAGGGGGGGAGGAGGGGGAGGAAGAGGACGGTGAGGAAGGGGAAGAGGAAGAGGAGGGGGAAGAGGAAGAGGAGGGCGAGGAGGGGGAGGAGGGGAGGA